TGACAAGTAGTGAAGATGATTTTTCGATATATTCGAAGCACCTCGAGTCAGATGCTAGGTTTCCAATGAACTAATTTACGGTTACGGGGATATAGTATTGTTGAATGGGTAGCATACCTAGATCAGCGCAAATCGACTTCAGGTTATGTCTTCTTGTTAAGAGGCGATGCAGTCTCATGGTGTAGCAAGAAGTAGTCATGTGTCGCTCTCTCCATTTTGGAGTATGAATACATTGCTTGTAGTAGAGCAGTACAAACAGCCACATGGTTGAGAAGATTCCTAAGTAACTTGGATATTGTTGCAACTGGTAATGAGCCTATTTTGTACATCGGTTAAAGACCCAAAAGACCACATAAAGTTAAAACATATTGACGTTAGATATCATTATATTTGAGACATTATTGCATATGAACATGTGGTGTTAACTCATATTATTACAGCTAAAATGGTAGCAGATCCCTTGACTAAGGTAATTGTCAAGGCCATCAGACTCATGTAAGAACTATGGGCCTCAAGATCCTGTGAGTTTAGAGGATCATGGTACACTGTTATAATGAAATATAGATGTTATTTTCTGTTATGATGGATTGTTTGTACATTTTAATTCACACACAGCTGAGATTATCATTAATTTGTCGGCATGTTAAAGCTCATTACTCGTACAAGTTTTGCTCAATATCTATGATATTGGAGGATGAGATATACATATGGTGCATTTATTGTCTCGACCAAATGTTCGAGATGAGATTTCATAAGGGAATTGACATTATCTATTCAAATTGACATCCCAAGTATCATGTAGCCTGCAAGTAGCCAAGGATGTTTAGGTTGGTACATGGATGTGACTGTAGGGCGCTAGATGGCAACCGGTTGCATGGCTGCAGAAAGACTATAACTTGCATGGTGTGGATTTTGACGTACATTTGATGTGATCCACCACGACGTGTGATTCATGCCACACATGTTATATTAGTGACCAAAACACCTACTCATGTGGAAAAAGATAATCCCTGTTCTCTTTTGCTACTGTGCGAGGCTAATAAGTAGGTGACCCGTGATGCCCTCATAGACCTTAAACTGTATTAGGAAAATTTGCTTCGATCAATCACTTTAGCATGTACTCCTTAGGGACAAGTATGAGACTAGTGTGAGATATTGCTAAGACCATGGTCGGGATATAGTAGAATAATATATGTTGTAAGGGAAGTCCATTTGATATCACATTCTGTATTGGTACTACAAAAAAATAATACACATTACGCGCACATTGAAAGTAATTGTGTACGGATGGGCTAAGTAATCTTCTGAGTTGGGCTTATGAGTTTGGGCGGCAACCCTCCCCTGATTCAAGGGCATTTCTATAGACTCTTTCAGCTAGAATTGGGAGCATCTTTTATTCAACAACCTGAAGAAAAACAAAGTTAAATCAGTTTGGATTGCTCCTCCCCAAGGAGCAATCAAACTTAATTTTGACGGTTGCTGACCACGCAGGTGCGGGAAGGGTCTTTAGAGATTATCTTCAAAACATCCTTTTCTCCTACTTCGAATACCTTGGTGTCTACATTTCACAATTTGCCGAATCAATGGCTCTCCTTAGAGGCATTCAGAACATCGATCGGTCTTGGGGACAGACTCTCTTAGTGGAGGGTGATGCTAGGAACATTCTCTCTTGGGCTTCCAAGTTAGCTTCTCCCCTTTGGTACCTCGTGCCCATTTATGATGAAATTGAACATCTTTGCAGGGATACATCAATCTTATGGATGCCTATCTCAAGGACATCGAACGGGTTCGCCGATCTACTAGCTAAGGACGGAGCCATGGCCCGTGTAGCGGTTCATTTTTGGAATGGGCTCAAAGCTTACACTTTACTTGAACCCCTTCTAGACTTACTTTGTCAATCCTGTTTGCATCTTTTTTGTACATCTACAGTATACTTTGTAAGGGGATAATCTTATAACCCCATTTTGTATAAACGGTCTGTTGACCTATTTTTTTTTACCAGGAGTCCCAGGTGTAGGTACTCTTGGACTATACTTCATCTCTTGTATCTTTCTTTTATTATCAATACAATTGTTAACAGTTAACAAAAAAAAAAACACAAACATTTTATACATTACAAATTTAGAATGGTTTTGTATCTACTTGATACACGCGCCAAATTATGGAAATTAAACTAGGGTGAACAATCATACAGGCAGGTCATAATTTGCAGCATCTTCACTAGTCCTGTTACGACTATGTCAGGTCAATCTCCTCTGGGCTTGGTAGACCACATATATTTCCTTTTTGATGTCTTTTTATTTTAACTCTGGAATTATATCGATTTTCACACGCACGTTTATCATTTGTTGGTCATGGTATTACTGTCACCTATATCCTTTGTCATTCTTACGTTACTCACAGTCTGTCTTATCATTGTCTATAAACATCTCATATTGCTCAATAACTGTTACTTGTACAGATCCAAAACGATGGATGTTATTTGCAATTAGGGGCTAAAGATGCTTTACTAAATGCTCTTCTGCTAGCAGCACAAAGATTTAGCTTGGATCCTCCTCAAGTAACAGTGTTTTGATTCTGTCCAATAAGTGTAAATTGTAATGACTTTTTCATTACAGAACGTGTAATTCTGTTTTTATTTGGTTATGTGGTGATGTCATCATCTTAGATTACAAAGTTTTGTATTATTGTTTTTGTGCATGTGCTCATGCATGTGTGTGTTTTAGCAATTCTGTGTATTGACAGGAAATCTTTTTTTAACAGCTCTTGACACAAATCTGTCTTGCACTGTCAGCCCTTGTTCTTCGTTCAGTAGAACATGAAAATCCTATTGAGCAACTATTTTCAAGTTTATACAAATTACAGGGGCAGGACAACGGTAATATTGCAGTACTAGAGATGCTAACTGTATTACCTAAAGAAGTTATTGACGACCAAAACAAAAATCACAATTTGGGTTTGGGCCTGACTTACAAATGGCGATTTGCTCAAGAGGTGTGGCCATTTTGACCTAGAATTTTGTCATTTACTTGTTTATTGATAGCTGTTGAACCCTGTTTCTGCCTTACAACTATTTGCTTTGCACATTTTTTATCTCATATAAGATGGGTAGGCTGTCTCTCATTTATGCATATGGAAATGTTGTCTTGCTTTCATGTTGAATGTGTTTCAACCTTTTGAACAGCTTTTGTCTCATACCCCCAAGGTTCTTGAGTTCCTGCTACAACAATCTAAGCGAAGGGTTGAGGATGTTAACCAACTCCATGAAAGGAACCGGAGAGTTCTTCGATGCCTTTTGAGCTGGGTAAGACTTCTACTTCATGCTTTTATGCTCTGCCTTATTTATACTTAGTATGTCACACACACATACAATTTCCTTAGGATAAATTACTCGTTCCTTTGTTATCATTTAAAATTTGTGTATATTTTTGAGCTGTAATAAAGAATTGGTGTTCTTCCAAAAAACAGTGTATGTATGTATCCTTTTTTGGATGCATTTTTTTTTTTCGATGCTTGCCATGTATATATCCTGCATCATCCTGACATAATGCTTGCTCTGTGAGTGAAGTTATGAAGATGAACACTTTTCTGTATCATTTATTGCAAATCTTCATGTCTATCAATTGATGAAAAGCTCTTTGTCCTGGTTTACTGGCATATTCTACAGGGCCTTTGTGGGTATTGCATCTCCTAATAATTTTGTTACTTCTAGTTCATAATATTAGGTTGGTCCTTTATATGTGTGACGTGTCCATACTGGTAATTTGGTCAACTCTAAATGATGTATCAGCAAATAAGGGATTTATTCCCTGAACACAATAATTGATATACATTGTTAACATTATCTGATTCATGTCCCAAAGTTAACAGAGTATTGGAGCATGGCTCATAATCCAGAGCTTCCTTGATTTTTGCATCTACTTGTGAGTCTCAAGAATGCTTGTGAGCAACTCTCTTTCTTCTTATTTCATAGTGCCTCAATTCCTCCTGCTATGTTGTATGTGTCTATATGGAGGAGTTTACGAATGTAGATAACGTTCTTCGGTTCTTCCTATTCATAGCCTATCACTTGTGTAAGTTTTCACTAGTGACTTGGTAATCTAGTTGGATTAGGTTAGTGGCATGCCCATACACTTGTACAAATTATTTTCATTTCTTTTTAGACAGTTCATTGTTTATATACTTAACATGGTAATGAATTGATAAACAGGTTCGTGCTGGGTGTTTCTCAGAGATTCCAGCATCCTTCTCAATTTTGTTGACAGCTCTTTACAAGTAATTGTCATCTTTGTCATGTTGTTAAGTTTGTACACCAACTTAGTCTGATGAAGTGGTCTAATTTATAACCCAAGGTTTAAACGTTAAATGTTTGTCTTTTCATGTTTTGACAATAAACTTGTAGATATTCTTGAGATTGTGTTGTATATGGTGCTGATCCAAGGATGATGAGTGATGGCAAGTTCTTTCATATGACTTTACTTTTGGCATAGGTTCTGCCGTCATTTGATCTGGCCATTGAAGTTCTTATGGAGCTTGTGAGTCGGCATGAGGTACGGGTTGTTGGTACATGGTTTCTTGGTGCCATGAACTTGTTAGCCTTATGAGTAGTTCCTTAGAATACTTTCTGTGGAGCAACTATTTTTGCATTGGACAGATTTACCCGTACTGCTGTTAATGAGAAAAGTAAAACAGTGATGTTCAAAACCTTTATTTGTCAATCCATGTGCAGTTGATTAAAAATGGGAACTGTTGTTTAATATTTAGAACATTTCTTCTTGCTCAGTTGTCGGTTATCATGAAACTTGCACATCCCTTTTTTTTTCTAGTTTTCGAAAATGTATGGCCTTTCTCCAGAGTCTTATAAGTTTTCCTTTTTATGGCTTAAGCAGGGTATTCCTCAAGTTTTGCTATCTAGAGTGCCATCTTTCAAAGAACTACTTCTCCTACCTGCTCTTAGTAGTGGAGATGAGAAAGTAATTGGAGGTCTTGCATGCTTGATAGCAGAACTTGGGCAAGCTGTAAGTATTTTGTTAATGTTGCGTTGTAGATTTCAGTAACTTATAAAAGGAATAACTTCCGTTACAGAGTTAAAGAAAAAGTTGTACACGAACTCATATCGATCTAGAAACTTTTGTGTGGGGAACCAGAAACTATCTCCCAAGTCACAACATGCGAAACCACTCCCTCTCGTGTAATTGATGTGCTTTCCATTTGGAGTGGAGTGGAGATAGAAGGGAAACACCTCTTAAAAATGTCATGCCCTGTGAGATTGAAGTGGTCCACTCCATGGACGCGCACATGCTATTCTTTTCCCTGGAAGTCACCATTGGATGGAAGCACCCTACTGGACATGATTTTAGACCTCCCTCATTTTAGTAATGTTCTCCCTCCATGGCTGCTTTCTTCATCCCTTGTCTAGTTTGGTCCTGAACCTCATCCTCTACCCTTGACCTGAGGTCATCTTCCTGTCCATAACTCTCCTGTTGCACTGGTTGTACTATTCTGCAAGTTCCTTCTCTGTGATCTCAGAAACTGAGTGTCTACAGATTTCATGCCTCATTCCTATAGGCACATCTCCAACTTCAACATCTCTCCTTCTCCTTACCTCCCAGGGTTCCAGTAGGACTTCCCCAATCCCATACTCTACTCAACCACGCTTCAGAAACCAAGTGCATACCTCTCTTGTTCCATCATTCAATGTCCTTAGTTCCTCATGGATCTCCTTGCCTCCACTTTCAGGATGAGGACCCATGGTCAGTTGGGATTCATGTGCTGAACTTTTTGTAATTTGCTTCCTGACTCATGCTCTATTTCATGATGAGCTAGATTTGCTTGTTGATTTTGATTTTAAAGATCCATTTGAAATTCATGTCTCTTCTGTTGTAGCATTAGTGTTTTTGCTTGAACATTATCATCATCAGTCACTGACAAACCATGAATGTTCTTGGGCTTGGTTTCTATAAGAGGATTTGTGGGTCTCATCAGTAGTCTTGGATATGTCTCACACCATGAACATTATCATCATCAGTCACTGACAAACCATGAATGTTCTTGGGCTTGGTTTCTATAAGAGGATTTGTGGGTCTCATCAGTAGTCTTGGATATGTCTCACATCAAATGGAAAATGTCCTTCAACTTCACAGATGAATGTTGCTTTGGGTTGTAATGTGTCAGGCACCCGCTTTGATTGCAGAGGCAAGTCCTGAAGCACTTGTGCTTGCAGATGCAGTTTTAAGGTGGCATATACATTCTTCGTTATTACAATATCAATTTCTTAGTATGCCATCGTATGTATGTTCATTTTCACCTTTATTAAGGAAAAGTCAATAATTAAGCTTTTTATCTGCTCAAATTCATCAATTACCCTGCGCCTCGCAACTCTTGAATGGACTGCCTTTGTACTAACTACTAACTATTCCCTGCTACACTGAACAGTTGTGTTGCTTTTCCAAGTGAGGACTGGGAGATTTAGACTCGATATTACAGTTTTGGTAATGATTCTCTGACTTTACTTCCATCTTTATTCATGATAACAATGTTTATTAGATTTCTGTTATTCATTGTTGAAGATAAGTTTGTTGTTTTTTGACATAACATTTTGAGTCAAATACTGTAATAAACCAAGGGTAACCATGGATTTGGACACTAAGTTTTGGTAAAGATGCATAAATTCATTCCTTCTGTAAACTGGCATTACAAAACCTAGTCAAATCAAGAAAATTTCCTGTCATCTAGCTATCATACATAATTTTAAATTATCATACTAGAAACATAAACTTAAAACAAACGACCTAGTGAATCCCTTAATTTATTGTTTGAACTGCCATTTAGTGTATCGAAAAGCGCTAGGCGGGTCCTAGGCGGCATGGGGGGTCCAGGTCGCCTAGCGCCTAGGCGGCTGCTTAGTTGTAAAAAACATACCAATATACCATATTCCAAGTTAAAAAAAGAAGAAGATAGACGTCGAGAAGAGAATTTTGATAATCCATATTGTTAAAACAGTAAACTGTAAAACCATACAAGTGTAGGATATAAAGTCAACACTCAACACAATATAAATATACAGAAATTTAGAAAATATACAGTTTATCAAAAGTCAACACTCATGACTCAACACAACAGTCAACACTCAGCACCAAGAGGCAAGAGTCTTTAGTCATTGTCATCATCATCATTAGAAGGAATATCAATAGGGCAAGCCTCATCATATGCATCAGAGTCGAGGCCATCATTATCAGAATCATCTTCCTCTTCAATATAATGCTCGTCCTCCTCTATTTCTTCTGAATCTGCCTCTTTCTCCTCCTCTTCTTCTACCTTCATCTTACTAGTATGTGCAGTCTGTGCAGTTGAGGTCCTAGGAGTCTTGACTGTTCTACCATTTTCTTTGTGCTTCTCTGAACTCAAATATTGTATAATTTCATCCCTGGTAGCCTCAAGAACATTTTTACACAGGGCAACATCCCCTTTAATACCGGCAAGGTATTTTTTAAACCGGTAAATGCCCCCATTAGTATCCTTTCTACAATAATTACATTTAATACGATTTTTATCACTTGGATTCGGGTTATAACCATACTTCCAACCCGGATCAACACTCCGACTAGGACTTGAAAAAGATACTTCCATAGAACAAGGCTTATTTTTATCATTTTTTGGTTCTTCTAAATTCAGAAGATGTTCAATCTCATCTCTAACTGCTTCAAGACCCTTTGTACAAGAAGCAACATTACCTCTAACACCAGCAATGCCTTTTTTGAATCGGCGAATACCCCCATTGGTATCTTTTTCATAAAAATTACATCTTATACAAGTTTTATCATTTGGTTTTGGGTTGTAACCCATACTTCCAACCAGGATAACTTCTTCTAGAAGTAGTAGAAATAAATCTATGACAAGAATTTTGTTATTGTTTTTGTTTTACATCCTTTCTGGTAGCTTCAAGAACATTTTTACAAGGGGCAACATCCCCTTTAATACCTGCAAGATGTTTCTTAAACCGGTTTATGCCTCTGTTTGTATATTTTTCACAAAAACTGCATCTAACGCAATTTTTGTCATTGGGATTAGGGTTGCATCCATGTTTCCAACCCGATTCTCCACTCCGACTAACTCTTGAAGAAGACATCTCAAAATAAAACAAGCAATCTAAAAAATAAAGTTTTGCACTTACTTTGATTGTTCGAACTCCAAACTCTGAGAAACACTTCGATTCAATGAAATGTAGTTTTCTGGAGGTTTCTTTCTCTCTAAAAGGGGTTCTTGTGAGTTTAGGTTTTAAATGAACCTAAAACCCCTCATTCTAACCTTTTATATCTTTAAAAAAAATGAAAAAAATTATAATTAATTTTCAACAGAACTTGGCTCGAGTCTTTCTCTAATCTTGCACATTTTAGGCGGGCCGGTCCAAGCCTTGAGCCAGCTCGAGTCTTCTTCTAATCTTGCATAGTTGAGGTGGGTTGGTCCAAGCCTTGAGCCATGTCTGAATTTAGAAGTTCGATATTTCCATCCTATTCAGATTATTCAATGTAGTGGATGACTGTCTTGAGTCAAATTACAATTTTAGCCTTATTATTTGATAAATTATCGCGCAAATGCTAATAGGTCTCAAGTCATAGACTGCAGTTTCTGTTGTCTTTTAGGAAGAATATAGCCTATAGTACTACGCTTTTTCTTAACATAACTTTGTACAAACTCTAGTAGATATTGTCATTTGCTTTCTGGTACTTGCTCATTAGGTCATCATTCTTGTGCAACCTGTCACTTTGGATTTATTGAACAGGATGTTTCTATACCAAATTACCAACTGATTGTATTCTTTGATTTTAGTTTCTGTATCACTTTGCTTGTTATGCCATGTTTAAATGCTCAAAGTAGAAATTTTGTATGACTGGGTATCGTGTTCTAATCCTACCTCAAGCTGAGATAAATGTTTTGCTATTCTTATAAGCTTGAAGAATCTCATCTCATCCCCTGATGCAACTGGGGTTTTCATTTTTTCATTTTTTATTTTTTAGGAGCTTAAATTTAGGTTTAGGGTGATTTGGATTTCTAGTTTTCTTTTAGGGTATTTGTGTCTTTTTTTGTGTTAGGGAATTGAGGGGTATAATTGAAAATTTAATTTTTTTTAGGAAATGAGGGGTTAAGATCTTAAAATTTAATGTTGATTACAGCTTCTTGAGCAGTTTAGGTTTTAGTTTTTAGGTTTTTTTTTTCCTTTCTATCATCATCATCATCATCATAGCCTTTCTCAATTAATTGGAGTCGGCTACATGAATCCTGGTCTACCATTATGCTCTATTAAAGACTATACCTTCAATGAGGCTATAACTCCCTATATCTTTGTGAACTACTTCCAACTACGTCCTTTTGGGCCTACCTTTTGCTCTTTTCAGTCCTTCCACTTGAACTAACTCGCACCTCTTAACAAGTGTTGTACTTAGTCGGCGCTACACATGGCCAGCCCACCTAAGTGCGCTCGCTCTCATCTCATCACCTATTGGTGCCATACCTAAATTCTCCCGAATGGATTCATTTCAAATTTTATCCCTTCTTGTCTTGGCACCCATCCATCTCAACATCATCATTTCCACTACACTCATTCTACGAATATATATATTTTTATTCGCCCAACATTCCTCCTCATAAAGCAAAGCTGGTCTCATAGCTGTCCTATAGAACTTGTCCTTCAACTTCATTGGTATATGGGATCACATAAAATTGTAGTTGCACATCTCCAGCCCGCCCACCTCTAATTTTGTGTGCGACATCTTCCTCAATCTCTTATTTTTTTGGATTATCGACCCAAGATATCGAAAGTGTGGTCTTTTTTGTACTTCTTGACTGTCAATCTTAACTATTTCCTTGTCTCTACTCCCCTATTATTTCTAAACTTGCATTCCATGTACTCTGTCTTAGTCCGGTTAATTTTAAAACCTTTTGGATTCTAGAGCATTCCTCCAAAGTTCGAACTTTGTGTTGACGCTGTTTCGAGTCTCATCGATTAAAACTATGTCATTTGCAAACAACTTGCACCACGGTACCTCATCCTGTAGGTGCCTAGTTAAGTTGTCCATAACTAAGACAAAGAGGTACGGGCTCAATGCTGACCCTTGATGTAGACCTATTGTCACTGAAAACTCACTTGTATCTCCACTAGTTGTTCATACACTAGTTAGCACTTCATCGTATATATCTCTTACCAAGTCGATCTCTAGATCAATAAAGACCATGTGAAGGTCTTTTCCCTTTGCCCTAAACTTCTCAACCAATTGCCTTAAGTAAAAAAATACCTCAGTTGTTGACCTTCTTGGCATAAAACCAAATTAGCTTTCAGATGTACACGTTTCATGCCTTAGTCATTGATCCACTCTCTCCCAGAGCTTCATAGTATGGCTCATAAGCTTGATCCCTCAATAGTTCGCACAATTTTGTATCTCTCTTTTGTTACTGTAAATAGGTACCACAATACTTTTCCTCCATTCTTCTGCCATTTTCTTTGTTCTCAACACCTTCTTGAGCAGCTTCGTCAGCTAGTCAATGCCAATCTCCCCCATGCACTTCCAAACCTCTATCGAGATACCATCTTGTCCTAAAGTCTTTCTTACCTTCATCCTTTCAAAGCTTCTTTTATTTCCGACATCTTAATCCTATGAATGTATTTATGACCTCCGCCCTCATTTGTACCAATAGTTCCTTCTACCACTATGTTCCCATTGTGTTTGTGATTTAATAATTTTTGAAAATAAACTCTCCACCTTTCATTGACCTCATCATCCTTCACCAAGACCCTTTGATCATCGCTCTTAATACATTTAATATGGTTTAGATCCCTACACTTTTTTTCTCCTATTTTTGCTAATTTGAAGACATCTTTTTTACCTTTTCTTGTTCCCAGTTTATTGTATAGATTTTCATATGCCTTAAGTGTAGTTTTACTTACTATTTGTTTAGCGTTTTGCTTAGCATTTTTATATTCTTCCAAGTTTTGATCATTTCTATTACACTGCTAAGTTTTATAACATGATCGTTTTTCGCTAATAGCCTTTTGAACCTCATCACTGCACCACCTAGCTTCCTTATTGGGTTTTCTTTTCCCTCTAGATTGTCCTAAAACTTCTTTTGCTACTTTCTTGATACGGTCAGCTATCTCATTCCATATTACATTGACATCATGTTCAGAGTTTCATTTTCCTTCTTCGACTAATTTATTCCTAAATAAGTTTATGTTCTCATTTTTTACTTTCACCCGTTCTCTTCCATGTCTTGATGCAGACGTCCATAACCATGAGCCTATGTTGGGTAGTCAAACTCTATCTTGGGATAACCTTGCAGTCTTTACATGATGATCGATCTACCTTCTTAACTAGGAAGAGGTCTATCTGGCGTTTATGTGATCTACTTTTATAGGTTATTAAACGTTCATCCCGTTTTTTAATGTAGGTGTTTGCTATTGCTAGGTTGTAGGCCA